GACACATTTTTCATACTCGCAAAAAAAATCTGCCTAATTTCTCTTTTTTCTGATAAATGTCTAAAAAAAAACATGGATTTAAATATGTATATACATTTATACATTTATACACATTTAACCTAATGTTACAATTGAATCCTACGAAATATTATTATTAAATGTTATCATTTAAACTTACATCTTAAATTATTCATTTTATTATTTATACCTTATATATCATTGTTAATAAATTCACATAAACAAATCGACGTTGTTTTCAACTAAACAAATGGAACAACGTGGTTAATAAGTTTAGATCGTAATAGCGCAAAAAACACCAAGGAATGTTAGTGTATTTACCAAGGAATGTTAACAAAGAATGTTAGTTTATTGACTTTCGTTAGTACTTTTGTTAGGATCAAGTAGAAATTTAACTCGAACATCTTGAGTTCAAAAAAATGTACCTTTTGCACGTAAGAGACGTTTTCTTTGGCAGCCTTTGAACGTGGTGCAACCGAAAACGGCAAGGTAATTTCGCCCTACCGCTGACACTTTGCGCAGCTTCACCTAATCAAGTATTTTTCAGAATTATACAACCTATCGTTTATGGTGACAAATCATATTGATGCGAAATATAAAACGAAACAAAGGAATTGAATATAAGTTATAGGTATTTATAAAATGGAATAAAAGAAATAATTGAACACACAAAAAAAAAATAATATATATAATATATATATATATATATTTATATATAAAATATAATATATATAAATATATATAATCCAGTAAGAAAAAAATAAAAAGATGATGTTGAAAATTTCGAAATCCCTCGATAAGACACGAAAAATTAATATTTTGCCTCTCTTAAAACCATACAACTTTTCTGTTTAACAATTTTTCATTAGACGTATAATTTAAAAGTATTATTCCAGGCGTTACGTTATTTTTCTGAGCGTATGTATGTGTTCATTGTATTCAAAAGGTTAAAAATTCCTACAGTATACGCTAAATTCTAGATCAGAGGTGGCTAATTGGCGGTCCTTGCCCCTACTTTTCTTACCGCTAGCGCTATCCCCTCTCCACTACGTTGAGAATGTCGCGGCTACACATTCGCATTAGGTATACATAATAACATATAACATAAATTGTTTTCTGTAGCTA